AACGAGAAAGTATAGGAACAATTAAAAGGCAGAAGGACAGAAAACTTGAACGAGTTCTCAGAAATACGATTAAATAAAATAATATAGTAAACACATATAAAACAAAGCATTGTTAAGTACATTTTGTTAAAATGAATTAACACATAAAACAAAAAATGATATTTCTTTTTTTGAAAACATTAGGAACCAATTCACTTTCCTCTTGGAGACCATACTGAGTTGTCATTTTATAATAATTATTGATGGTCTAAACAATTTGACTTTTCGACCTCTTCAAGGGTAAGAAATGATACCTTTAACCATTAATAGTAATTTTATTGTGCACTTGGATAGAAAACAAGCGTTATCGTATCACTCATGTTTTATCCATAGAAAAGTTACGTAAAGCGCACCACTTTTTCCCTCGTTTAGTGTTATATAATTTCTAATGCGTCCTGATTAACAAATGATCTAATGATCTAGGCACGGTGACACATTTGTCATACCTGAAAGAAAGATACCAGAGTCCATTCTTTTTCTGCACAAGTTTCATTGGCGTTACTTGACTAGATCGCGTGGTATTTCATAAAAAGTAGCCATGCTAACGTGACAAGTCATATCTTGAAGTAGGTCAGCAATAAATAACATTCTTTTTGTTAAATAGAATGCAATTTGATCATGCCAACGTAAAATAAAGTTTGGATTTCCATCAAAATTGGAAGCGGGAAGAGTATGATTAAAAGTCGGTTCGAAAATTCGTGTTGCATGAAATGCTGCAATATTCATTTAATTATTCCTTTGCGATTAGCGTGGCATTTGTACACTTGCTTTAGGCACGTAATTTCTTGGTACTGTGTGAGTAATTCAATTCCAAGTTGTTGACTAACAGCTGTTGTATACTTGTATGGCGACTATTAATTGCAGAGCAATAGGTCAAAGCGATTCAGTTACCTATGTGATGGACCAATTCAGAATGTCGAATTAATTTAGATAAGGTCTATTAAAAATTTATTTTCGATGTTACTTTAAAGACTAATAACATAAATGGTATAAATTGAATCATATTTTTATTAAAAAACAAAATCGCAAATCCCTCTTTTCGAAGCCCTATACAAAATATTCTTCTATAACAGGAGCAAACATTTTATTCGTCGATATCAAAAGTTTTTCGGTCCGTAAATTTTCACATTTAAACAAATACCGAGTAGTGATCAGTGATTTATTGTGTTACTGGACAAAAACCTAATATTTACAATTGAGATTTCTGCATCAGAGCAGGCCTCGTGGATTGATCGGTTTGAAATTAAAGTCCTGAATCAACTGCTCCCATGGAACTTTTATCGCACAAATTCTAAAGTATCTACTCCGCTAGAATAGTTTTTTTTTTTTGTACCTAATGTACAAATTTTTTCCATAAAAATTTCCACGAAAGGGAATATCTTTTTAAACAAATTGGGTTAAAACCAACCCAATTTAAAAAAGTTCTTTCATTCGATCTCTGAATATAATTTCACATTAATTTGATACAGAAATAATAATAATTTCAAGTTTTTAGTTAAATTCGTGTTGAAATTATTAATCTACTGAAGAAATCAAAGTATTAGGTTGTTCCGAATGTTTCTTTCGCGAGTTGCACTCAATTATTTTATGTGGTCGTGTTTATATAAATAAACAATCTAATTTCACAGATATTTATGTTGTAACAGTAATGGAGCGAAATGAATCGTGCACAATTCAGTAATGCAACATAAAACATAAACTATTATGCATGTATTTGTTATTAATAAAGCGAAAGAAACTTTTGGGACAACCTAATATATGTCACATTTATCCAATCGAACGTTTGAAGTTAAGTATACTTATTCCGTTACACTCTCGTACTAATACTGCAATCATACACTATTTACTTTCCTGTCGTCATGAATAATTTGATCAAGACACGGATCATTATCACGTCGAAGTCAATTTCTGGCGATGACGTACAGTTCCTGGGCTCCTTTATGATTTCACCTACTGTTACATAGACGACATTTCTTAATACGGAGCTTATTGGAGGATTAGGCTTATTGTTCGCTGGTCTAGATAGAGCTCTATTGGTAGAACAATCATTCAACAAAAGGAAGGATCCGGGTTCGAAACACGACCTAGAAATTTTAATGAACCTTTACCTTCTCTCCCTTGAGTTTTTAGAGTCGACTTCTTATTTCCACCTTCCATTTTCATACTGTTTTTGGAATTTTGAATTTTTTATTTATCGTGGGTAGAAGACATGTTTCGTGGCTTGATGAAACGATTCAGTAAACGAAATATCGATCCAGCGATTTTAGCGGCCTTCTTCCCTTTAATGTTTCCCAAAAGTGATACTTGTCCTCATACTGGTTCCAGGGATGTACCTAAAATCTTCGACGAAGTTTTGTGTAGGGAATGTACCAAGCAATCACAGTTTGTTTATTCTGGACAATCTCTTCCAGACTTGTAAATTTCGTGACAAGAAAATACTGTCGACGCTTTTTTTGCCTCAGCTTTATCTCGCCTCCCCCCCTTTTTTAATTATTACGATGTCCAGCAAGCTGTTAGTAATAGTTACAGTTTAGATACACTTCCTCTGTCTGCTTCGAAAAGTAGCTAAAAATAAAAACAAAAGGAAACTTTAAAATATATTCATTAATTTTCCAATCTTAATTTTCAACAATTCCAATTTATGGTCTTTATTTTTTAAACTTGACCACCACAAATATTTTAATTCATATGCTTATCAAAATTTGTTATCCTGTTTAAATAATTGTTTCCTCCAATTAAAACAGTATTAATATTAAAAAAAATATATATATATATATATATATATA